TTCCTCCTTCTCTCTCTCTCTCTCTCTCTCTTCTTCCTCCCTCCCCCCCCCTCCCCCCCAGCACAGTAGTGAGGCCAGACACCCACACCCTATCCCCCCAGAGTCCACATGCTGGGCATCCCAAAGTGAGAAACAGACTGATGCTAGTTCCCAGACATTTTTGGAGATTCCTGTATGCCACCACCTTCTTTCAGGGCATGTTGAGAACTGCAGTTGCCAGGAACCCTCTAGCTCCTCCCTCTCCCTCCAGCAGTGTCTTCCACTTGCAAGCTGTACTCTGGGTCCAACAGCCCCTCGTGGTGGCCAGCAGCTTTGCAGCCCATTTCTGTGGAGAAAAAGAAATTCTGTGCGAAAAGCATTATTTTTTGTGCAAATTCTGCATGCACAGTGGTGCAGAATTCCCTCAGGAGTAACATAATGCCATGTTATGGAAATGGGAAGCAGATATAGTAGTGGGGCAGTGCCACTGTAAAGTTAGTCATGACATTTGTTCTAATGACCTAAATTTGACATGCTTAGTTGGATTTCTCTTAAAGCTGGTGTGCTTCAGGAGGATGCAGAGTAGGGTTAGTGACCTGAATTTGCAGGCATTTGAACCAGGGGTTCTGGAGAGAAACCCTAAGGAAAAAATAGCCCCTTAAAGAAATATGTAGGAGGGCTTTTGCCTATAGATAGAGTAAACTATAGATGTGATGTGGGTCAAAATATTCTCAATCTGAGTTTTACCCAAGATAATATATTGCACCCACTAAATCTTGGGGAACCCAAATTGAGAACAGTATTTAAGAACATGAATTCCTTCAGTTTTTGTACTGTTAAACTGAGAGGGGCAGACTAGAAGAATCCATAAACCTTTTGATTGCTTTGGGCATAAGCTTTATGCCCAAATAAATCCCTTAGTCTTTAAGGTGCCACCAGACTCCTTGTTGTTTTTGTGGATACAGACTAACACGGCTGCCCCCTGATACTTACTTTTGCTGTGAGCTTACCTTCAGTAAATAGGATAAGTTCATCACAAGTCCCCACTTCAGCCACTCACTTCAAAACTTCTTTTGTCTTAAGTTTACAAATTTGCCACAATTTGTAAGTCAGAGGTGACAGTTTTGTTTTTATAATCAAAATATTTGTGGGTGAAGGGGGCTAGAAAAGTGAATGCTTCCTGGGAGGGTTATAAAGGCAGGGGGAGGAAGGGGGGGGGGTTGGGGCAGCAATGAGGTGAGAGGGGATAAATGGAGATGGGGGGGTGGGGAGGGGCGCAGATGGGGGAGGCATGGCACCCCCAACCCTCTGCATCCCCTAACAGTGCATGTCCTGTTCCAAAACTACTCCCAAATCACATTTTCCTGTCTAAAAAGAAATCTAAAATTCAATACCAAAACTGTTAACGCAGAGTGGTGGTATGTTGTCCCCTGCAGAACGTTTTGCTGATTAACACTCAAACTTCTGAAAACCAGGAAATGCACAATTAAGGTGTGTTTGTGCATCCCTAACACTGCCCTATTTCAGCAATGCCCCAATATGCCTCATTAAAACACCTATTCTGACAACCCCGCAGTTGTTGAATTATTGCATGGGCAACTATAGCTGCATTTCTTGGTTTTCAGAAGTTTTGAGCTTTTTGCTCAACTCGCTGTTCTGCATGGGGATGACTTACCACCAAGCAACCCTAACTCTGTGCTAATGTAGTCTCTTGCTATTAAATTGGAAATGTAGGTTTGTAGCTGAAGTAAATACTACCGAATATATAACCAACTACTTATTAGAACCAGCTGCATTTGAACAGTGCATAAATATTCTACTCTCAATTAAAGTGAGAAGTCCCGTGGACAGTGTTTAAAAAGTTTGTTTTCCCAGCACATCTCCAGGTTTTGTATTTTGCAGTGGACAAAATCTTGGAGTAAGTGCTAAGAATAAACCCTTCTCTTGCAACCCACAACTCATCAATATATGAGCTGTGTTACTTTTCAGAAGGGACAATCTTTGAATGTGCTTCCAGTAGAACAGAATTTCTATGAGCACTGGAGAACTCCAATCTCTGCTTGTATCAAGTTCAGTCTCTAAAATGGATAATATAAATATTCAGTGTTTGCACTTAGTCCCAGTTACACTGACTTTGTTTTAGGCCCTCCTACTGTAAATTCTGAGGAGACGTGTAGTTGCTCAAATACCATAAATGTCTACAGTCAGCCAATTTGTTGAATTGATAATTCCATAGTCTTGCCTGTTGGCCTTTCTCTTATGTCAGTCTGTTTACTTTAGCAGCTGGACCATGGGAACTTTTTTCCTGCTAGAAAAGGCATAGTATCTACCATTTCAAGGGGAATTGAATAAAACATCAGTTCTGAGTAGGTTGGCCAGCCAATCTATTTCTAGGCGCCCCTCAAATGCAGTTTTAAACAAGTGACTGGCATTTGTTAACCTACCAGTATGAGAAATAATGGCAAAATATATAAACTCTTACATTAGGTGAGCCAATATTGATTATTTGTGTTGATTTCAAAAATAAACAAATTTATGCTTGACTAATGTAAGCTGTGCTGAACAGAACAATGGTAACTTCTAGAAAAGCTTTTTGTTTTTGTTTTTTTCCATTTTAGTTTCTGGAACTTCCAAAATACACTGAAATCAAGATGGAAATACGTAGCTGGTTGAAAAGGGTAAGCTGTGATGCATTCATATTAAATTACTGCATTCAAGTGCGCTAATTTTCTTTAGGGAAATTAAAATTTTGAATGCATGGCTTTTTGGAGAAAGTAGTTACCAAGTGAACTGTTGCACTGTTTTGGTATCTGCATCCAGCAGTATTCTCCTGATGGGGTGTTCAAAAAACAGTGCCACAGTAATCCAGCATCTGGCATCGTTGGTTTTCATGCTGTTATGCTTGTTAAACCTGGTATATCTGTTGGAACATGTAGGTTTAATTAAATTGTAGGCGGTTTTATTCAGAAGCTGGTGAAATAATGTTGCCATTGAAATATTGTGGAAGTGCCAATACAGTATTTTATAAATCACTTACATTTTTCTACTATGAATTTTGCATCAGAATATCTTTGCTTTTTTTTTAAAGCATTTCCTATGGCATTCTGACTGTAGACACACGACCTGACTGCAGTCACCGTCAGGAAGATCATCTTCATACTGAGATGGTATGTACAGAAGAAATGTACATATTTGTAATCGTGAAGGAAACTAAGAAAAAGAGCTAGTGTCAAGGTAGGGGTAGGTCAGTTGAAGGTCATGCTCAAGCCTTAAACTGGACTTAAAGCTGCATTTTTTTGTTTAAAGCAGAAGTAAACCCTTATTTTGAAAAGGGACACTATCTTTTTTTTTTTTTTAAACTATAAAGCCACTATATGAGAAGAGCTGGAAGCCCTCCCACAAGTTTCACTTAAGTAGGTGTCATCTAATGACCTTTTCCTACATCTTTCCGTATGCTATGCATTTCTGCAAACTTGGGTGCTGGTTCCACTGAAGATCCTGGTATCCAGTGCCCTAGAATGACTTCTCGCAGACCTGAGCCAATTTGAGCAAGCTGCAGGCTCTGAGGTTGACAACTAATTTTGAAGCTTTTAAAATGTCCCTTTTCCTCTATCTGGATCATTCAACACATTACGTTACTTCAATTTTTGTCAAGGTACTTGCAGTTCATCTTAATCTTTTTACTTCTGGCCTGCAGTAATTTGGCCCTGTCTACTTGGGTAAAAAAAGATGTTGGTTTTTAAAGTTTGTATTGAAAACCTCCCTTTAGCATCTGTGTAGACCCATTTGAACTAGCTGCCTCCTAGTGTACAGTATGACCAGCTCAAACAAATTCAAAGGCGGTGAACTTTCTGCAGAGGTGACAAGGTTACACATCTTTCTTGTGCAGACAGAGCCTTTTAATGCTAAATCTAATAGGGGAAGAATGTCAGTAGTGTACAGACTACTAATTTAGGTGAATAGTTTGGTTTTTTTGTAATATAGTTGACTATCTTTAAAAAGATGAAGAATTTGATAGTTGGGTGAAACTGCCTCGTTACACACCAAGAATAGGCACAATTAACGGTGTGTGTCTGAATTGAGCAACGTGGCTACAGAAGGAACAGGTTGTGCTTCCATCACTGTAAAATGAATTACAGTGGTGACAATGAGACCTGTAACAAACTTGTCTTAAAATGATTTTGAACTTTCTGTCCAGATAGAAGGGTAAATTCAAACATAGGTTCTGAAAAGTGGTCCACTCTATTGAGATTATCATAAAATATCACCTGCTTCAGTTTATTCTGACACTTGGGTTTTTGTCTGCTAGGCCAGCAGTTCTCAACCAGGGGGCCATGACCCCCAGTTTCAGCAGGCTGCAGGGCCCCGCAGCTGAAGCACGAGCCCTTCAACCCCCATTTGGTTGAAACTGGGAGTGGAGTCGTGGTGCGTCCTGGAGGTTTTATAGCATGTTGAGGGGGGCCTCAGAAAGAAAAAGGTTGAGAACCCCTGCCCTGGGCAGCAAAACAAGATCTGTGATTTAGATGTGGTTTAACCATATACTTTCTATAAGAAATCCAGTTAGGTGCAGGTTAGGGATGTAACACCCAGTTAACCAATAACTATTCAACTCCACCCAGGATCCCAGCTGCTGTCCCCCCGCACCCTTAGTTTGCTGATTAAACATTTAACTGGGTAACCAATAGAATTTTAATCTGTTACATGGTTATTGGTTTTTAAATGTTATTTACATCCTAGTGCAGGTTAATATCTAGATACATATGGTGCAGCGTGTATTTTGTCTAAGAAATTGAAGATGCGAATTACAAGACCACTTGTCTCTTCATATCACTTTCTTGGAAGTTGGGCTTTTCATACTTAGGGCCATTTATCTGTATTTGTGGAGTCCTGTTGGAGGATTTAAAGAGGTTTGTTAGCAAGGTTTGGTTCTATAGCTAACAGCGGGGGAGGGGGTCCCATACCTTCAAAAGACTGGATAACAATATATTTTGCAGGGTTACTGTAGCCAGTTTTGCTCCAGGATACTAGGAGGACAGAGTGGGTGAGGTAATATCTTTTATGGGACCAACTTGGCTGTTGGTGAAAGACAAGCTTTTGAGTTTACACAAGACCTGAACAAGAGAGCTCCATGTAAGCTGAAAAGCTTGTCTTTTCCAACAGAAGTTGGTCCAATAAAAGATTACCTCACCCATGTGGTCTCTTTAAATACTTAATGTCGGCATTTGAACTGTAGTTTAGAAGTAATGAAAATGGAAAATTGTGAACGACATCTTGCCTAATACAGATTGAGTAGTAAAACTACTTCTGTAACTATTCCAGGGAAAAGGCAAATTTAAACTGTAGAGGCCGCTTAACTGGCATTGAGTATAACAAACTGAATTCTCTCCCTTTGTTTTCAGGCAGTCCAAATAACTGTGGGGAACACTTGGTCACCAATCGTATTTTCTTCTAGTGTCTTGGTAAGAAATTCTGGTGTGACACCACAAAATTCAAGGAATCCTAAGTATCCGAGGGGTAGCCGTGTTAGTCTGGATCTGTAAAAAGCGACAGTCCTGTGGCACCTTATAGACTAACAGACATATTGGAGCATAAGCTTTCGTGGGTGAATACACGTGCATCTGACGAAGTGGGTATCCACCCACAAAAGCTTATGCTCCAATACATCTGTTAGCCTATAAGGTGCCACAGGACTTTGTTGTGGTATCCTAAAAGTGCTATAAACTTCCTGGTTAAAGGGCGTTGCATGCCTCATTAACTCAAAATTGATTTGCATGCTATAGGATTGGATTATACCAAGGTGTGCAGAATCAGTAGAATCTGCGCTGTTTGTTGGAAAGCAAAAGGCTTCATAGTGAGGATTATCTACAGACCTGTATTCCTCTAGTTTGCTGTTTTGAAAAGCCATATCAAACTCAGTCCTATTAAACTTGCCATCAGATTTTTTTTTGGTACAGGAAGAATTAGAGCTTTATTTTCATTTTAACTGGCATCTGTTTTTATACTGGAAGAAATAGGTGGAGATGTTTCATAAATAGTAAACATTTATTCTGCTCCAGAATATAGAGGATGTTGTGAGGAAATGTTATGATGATTGGCAAAATGTTCAACTGCTCTGAAGAGAGTGAATGACGACAGCCTTTCTGAACACTTGGGTTATGTGGCTTATGTCTATCGTGCTCTAGTTCAGGTACACACTTGCCATTTAATGGTTTAAGCTTACCTTAGTGTCAGACTAAAGGGAAAATCTGCTAGAATCAGGACTACCATGTTTGTCTATTGCCACTGCTCTGTGTATAGAGCAAGTGTTTTTTTGTTTTTTAAAACTTTACCTTCTGGGTTCTAGTGTTTAGCCCTCCAAAAGTAGGTTTGTGGCCAGTAGTTGCATGGGTGATTTTTTTTTTTCAGGAAGAACACAGGTGCTTCAGGAATTGTATGGTGGTACAACCCCATTGTTAAAAATTGGTGCTGCTTGTGTTGGTGTTTCTGTGTTGCTGTAAACTGACCTCTCTTTCAGGTGGAGCACATGTTTAAAAAGCAAGGCAAGTGAAGTGATTACAAAGAAGCTTTGTCAACCAGAAATTAGGAGATGCCTGTTCACGAGGTAGGAAATTCTACCCCTTGCCCTTTTTATAAAAATTCAGTGTCTGGTGGCTTTTGGTTTTAAGTAAGAACTTATCTTCTATCAAATGTATTCAATTTGAGAAGCATTTCAGTCTTGGTAAATAATTTTAATTGTAAATATAGAATGAACACCTAGTTTTATCAGTTATCTCTGCACATAAGTGAAGGATTTTTTAACTTCACTGGCATCTCCAACGGACATATACAAAAATATCCAGCTAAATATTAACATACAGAACTACACTTCCCCCTGAAAACTTAATTGCTATTTTTACAAATAAAACCTGAGATGGCTAACTGAAGAAATAGGAGGGAAATTTTTTTGCCTTTTTCAGTCATTTTGTGCAATTGATAGTAGTTTGTGTATAGTCAGTTTCCCTGTCCAGATTAATAATCTGGCTAAAACTAAATCACTGGCCATTAACATCAAGCAGTCTCCAGTTCTAGATTATAACCAGTTCAGTATTAACCTGTCTGGATGGGACATAGAGCAGATGGCAGCTGTTAAATATTTGGGCAGCATCATAGACTGTACTGAAGGATCGTCAAAAGCTGTGGACATGTGTATAGCAGAAGCTAGTGCTGCTGCAGTTTTTGGGCCCTTCAGCAGCCTGTGAGGATGCTGTGATATCAAATTTTTCTAAGCCTGATTTATACAACCACAGTTATATCTGCTCTGGCAGTGAAATGGATTGAGGAAAGCTGAACACCAGATTGACCCTGTTGATTCTCGTAGTTGTCATCCGATGAAGACTTTATATCAAATGGCAGGACAAGATCAGAAATCCATTATAAATCATGGAAAATGCAGGCCTTTACCTCTTCAGTAGGTGTTCCTGTTTGAAGTTATTGTTTAGGCTAGTTGATGCTGACAAAGTCCTATATTGGTAATTACAGAAGCTGTAAGATCTCATCCCTATAGTTCATATTACAGTACCACATAACTGAGGTCTATCCCGATGGAGCCTCTCCTGTAGGTTCATGTCGTTGGAAATACCTCATAGAGCAAACTTGTGGTTTCGCTTTACCCATTGAACTATTTGTTAGCTCTGTGGGATAAAACTGCAAGACAGATTTTAATTGTGTGTGTAACTATTTAACTCCTTCTGGATGGACACTGAGCAATATATTTTCTGTCCTGTAGGCACTAGCTTAGTTAACACTCAACATGGACTGAATCTTGTCACAAAAGGAAATGGGCAAATTGCTGGGTAAGATTTAGTGAGTGACTTGCACTGTGCTTTGACTTCTCATTGTAATTAACTTGTTGAATCACATTGTTTAAGCTGAAGGGTGACAAACTAAAACTAGGATCTCGTGTTCTGTTTCTGCAGCTTCAGAAATTGTGAAATCAATCCTTCACCCAGCCTTTGCTGGAGAAACTACATTTTCTTTTTAACAGATTGTTTCTAACCTTCATGGTTGTCAAGACCTGACCGTGTATAAACATATATAAGTCAGTAGACAATTTGAAACAATAGCTTTAAGGTGTGAATCTCACTCATTTTGCTGGGCTGCTAATGCTGAAATCCAAATGAAAGTAAAGCAACATTAATGGATTTAGTAAACTTTAGCAGAATTTGTGTATCCCAAACTGAACTCTCCATGGCTGGGCCAAGTCACCTGTCCCTTCTCCAGTTGCCAAACTCCCATCTTCTGAAGTGCTGTAAGCACTCAGAACAAAAATGTACAACACATAGAAAACATAGGTGGAGGCAGCATAAAATCAGTGTCAAATAACAGATGTATTTTCATTAAATAAAAAATGAAATTGCTGCAGAAATTCCAATTCACTGTGCTGGAGTGTTGAAGAATCCAGGGATCTTGCCACAGAATCACTGAAGATTAGTGTCTTGTCTAAAACTAGCTAAATGTTCCGTTTTAAAAAATGCATTAACTGGAGTACAAATCTCTTATAATTCTAGAAACTGAGTTTTACTAGCTTCATTAAATAAGGACTCCCCTTACACTTCTGGTTACTTCACAGCTTGCAAAATGGAATTTTGCTCTGAGTTTATTACTGTTAGATCATTTAACTTCTAATTCAACACTTACAGAAATGTAACTTTAAAATGGGCTGATACTTCAGGATGTGGAAGCTGTTACAAACACTTTTTTAACTGTGCACTGCAAGGTATCTGCATCCAACAGTGTTCTTCTGATGGGATGCTCAAAAAACAGTGCTACAGTAATTCAGCATTTGGCATCGTTGGTTTTCATGCTGCTGTGTGCTTGTTAAACCTGGTATTTCTGTTGACACATGTTCAATCCATAAAGACTGAAGTTTATCTGCTTTTAATTTATCCATATAGTATGTCTGCCATTGACCAGCTGTAGAAGACTATCTGAGTTGCACTCACTCCTTTATTCTTTTTAGAGGGACTTCACTACACTACTAGACAGACCAGATTTCATTATGATGAAAGAATTGTTTGGAAGACCGTATCATGACACCAACTTGTTTGACAGGTAATATACTTACAACAGCTGAAACATTTATTCATCTTTCAATTTGGAAGGTATGTGACATTGTACTACATAATGATTTATGGAAATATGCTTATGAGTGTAAATATAATGTAACTGGAATATGCTTTATGCAAGATCTCTTGTAAAGTGTCATTACAAGGCTTATAATCTACTGAGTGTGTTCATCCTATTTGTATGTATGTATCATTCTTGTATCTAAAACTAGAAATATGAAGCATAACTCTGAGGTCCTATTGTAATTATGCAAAGTGTGGGCCATTAATGGTGGATTAGAATCTTGAGGGCTCCCGTTGACCAGGACAATTGGTTGTAAATGGTTTGTTTATCTGCAGGCCTTCCTGTGTACTTCTCAGAAGAATGAGGGTCTTACAGCAGGAGTCTCAAACTCAAATGACCACGAGGCCCACATGAGGACTAGTACATTGGCCAAGGGCTGCATTACTGACACCTCCCCCTGCCACCCTTGGTCCCGCCCCCCACTCCACCCCTTCCATGAGGCCCTGCCCCCATTCCAACCCCTTCCCTGAAATCCCCACCCCAACTCTGCCCCCTTCCTGCCCCTAGGGAGGGCAGGAGGGGTGTGGGGTATGGTGGGGGCTCAGGGCAGGGAGTTGGGGTGTGGGGATCAGGGGTGTGTGGGGTACAGCAGGGGGTTGGGCTGCAGGGGGGACTCGGGGGACGGGCTCCAGCCCGACACCAGGGGCAGGGCTGGCCGCCTGCCTGCCTGTCCCCGCACCACTCTGGGAAGTGGCTGGAACCTGGGGGAGGAGGGGCACAGGGGTCTGTGTTGCTGTTGCTTCAGGCAGCACCCCCAGCAGCTCCCATTGGCGTGGAATGAGGAACTGCGGCCAATGGGAGCTGCTGGGGGTGCTGCCTGAAGCAAGAGCAACACAGACCCCTGTTTTTTTCTTCTATTCCCCCCCCCCGTTCCCCATATTCTGGCCGCTTCCCAGAGCGGCAGGGGGCAGGGCAGGCAGGGAGCCTGCCCTTCCCCTGGTGCATGTCGGGCTGGAGCCGCTCTAGGTAAATGCTGGGGGGAGGGCTGGGGGGGCCCACAAGGAGTTCGCAGGCTGCAGAAAATAACCCTGTGGGCCACATGTTTGAGACCCCTGTCTTACAGCGACATGATCATGTCACCTGAACTGGAACCCATCTTAAATCTGGTACTTTTCCATTTACAAGGAGGGGTGGGGGCCCAGAGGTACCACCTAAGCTGGAACTAATAAAGACTGTACTGGGGAAAGGATTGGGCCCAGACTAGGAAGGATTCTAGACTGGGAAAAGCTTATTGGAACATCTCTAAGGGTGAGATTTACCTGTATTCAGTTTCTTAATGTATTAGGCTTAGACTTGCGTGTTTTGCTTTATTTTGCTTGGTAACTTACTTAGTTCTTTCTGTTATTACTTGGAACCACTTAAAAGTGTGTTTAAGTATAAAAAGTAAGATGTTTATTTAACCCAGAGTAAGACAGACCTGGGGGAGCAAACAGCTGTGCATATTTCTCTATCAGTGTTATAGAGGGCAGACAATTTGAGTTTACCCTGTATAAGCTTTATACCAAGTAAAATGGATTTATTTGGGGTTTGGATCCCATTAGGAGCTGGGTGCTGGAGACGAGTACTTGCTGAGCGGTTTTCAGTTAAGTCTGCAGCTCTGGAGGTGTGGTTCAGAACCTGGGTCTGTGTTGCAGCAAGTTAGCGTATCTGGCTCAAGACAGGTTTCTGGAGCCCCAAGCTGGCAGGGAAAAGGGGCTCAGAGGTGACAGTCCCAAGGGGGTCTCTGTGACTGAACCTGTCACAGTATATAATTACAGTATGAAATAACTCAAAATACAATTGAGATTTTGAGAACATCTGATATGCTGAAACTGCAGCAGACAGTACTAGAATAAAGTAGAAACACTGCTGAAGTGTGGTCTAAACCTCAAAGACAACCTCATTTCAAATTGTGATAACACTTTTGACTTGGGCAAAATAATCACTTAATTTTGAATTGTGACCCATATCTGAAATCAGGATAATTCTTACATATGTACCTTGTGTGGGTGTTTTAGTGCCTCAAACAGTTTTGAAGGTAAAAAGTAACCTGAAGTTCCAGGCTGTGTGAAGCTAGAACTGATGTCTACTATGAGGTATAAGCACTAGTAATGCTTTGGGACAACTGTTTTGATACACAGCTTGGCTCCGCTTAATTTTTAGAGCTTTAAGTTGCCATCTGCATCATATAACAACTCTGGCCTTTTCCACTAAAGTTTTTAGTGTTCAAGTATTACTTAAAACCCCAATCAATGGTCATTACCAAGGATACTAGGAAATACCATTTCTGGTGTGCTGTGGACATGACCATAAAGTAACTCCATCAGATTTTGGCATTGCTACTTTAGTAGCACTAAATCTGTTGGAAACAAGTAATGTAAGGGATCAAAGAGAGCACTCTTTCATGTCACCATGTCTGTTTTTGCTTAAATCCTCACTGAGAACCTTTTTACATAAGTTTGTTCTGTTCAGTATAGCCAGATTTCAGCTAAAGCTGTCTAAAAATTTTAAAAATAGTAACTATGGAAGAATTAGCATTTTGTACATTCTTTATCAGGATTATAGGCAAAAATCCCTGACTGTATGGAATATTTCTAATAAAGATCTGATTTGATTTCGTTTGAAGCTCCTCAGATGGTTCACTGAAGAGCAATTTATCACAGGACTCCTACATTTAAACATAACTAAAGAAAACTGATATTAGCTAAACTGCCTCTGAATAGAGTTCCTGGCTTGTCTTCAGGCAACTCTCACCTTGGTAATTTATCGCTTGATACTAACCAAATCTGACTCTCACTTTAACCCCTTAGTGTCCATTGCTAACAAATCACTGACCGCAAATCCCAAATGAAGACCAGGAACAAACATGGATATGGAAAAGACCTTTCTAGCTGTATTGTAAAGGTAAGGATGCCTGTTAGCAATTCTGATAAGCAACAGCAGCCACTTACTAAAGGTCATTTCAAAGAGGGTTTGCATGGCTGAAACCAGCAGCTCTTAACGCGATGACCTAATATTGAAATCCTCTGCAGGATGCCATGAGCACTTAGTGTGCTATGTGGCCTATTTCTGAGGAGATAGACATAGTGCAGCTAGGCTGTTGATCAAGTGTAAGAGAGGGATGTCATTAAACTCTCCAAATTACAGATCCAATGTCACTGTGCCAATTCATGGGAAAACTTACGCTGGCTTCAGAATTTAGGTTACATTTTTTAAGTTCTTCAACCAAGCTTCTGACCTCAGAACTGGAAGAAATGGCTTAAACGAATATTTAATGTATGATGGAAAGCGGCTTGATGCAGAGTCCCATACTTTGTGTGTCACTTCAGTCAGTCTGGCCCTAAGTATTGGCATTTAAAACAAATAATTTCTAAGCCCTTTTGTCTTTGGGAGATTTCCTCTTGCTAGTTGAGGACCAACGCTAGACCCAAAAAAAGGTGGTGTATGGAACCAAAAAACCTTGGAAGTTTACTTGTATTACCTTACCTTCACATACTTCACTTCCAACAGCAATTTGTTCATAAATGGCTGATCACCCTCATCTGCAAGCCTGCTTTTGCTTCATTAAAAGTATATGGTTGTTACCTAGAGCTGGCTTTTGGTTGAAGTTTGAACCAAACCCAGGGAATGTTCATTTTTAATCCACTAGTCACTGATTGTGGGAACCTCAAATGTGTAGCACTATGGAGGTAGCATCCATAGGCTGGGGAAGGGATAGAGCATACCATCTTGTAACTTGACTAACCCTACCTCCAACATAGGAGCTGTAGTGACTTTTTTTGTTTTTGTTGAGGGAGCTGTTTCCAGGATGCAGATTGAGCCATCCTTTTGTCAAAAAGGGAGAATATAAGGGGGTGAGGTCAAGAGGGGAAAACTCCAGAACCATGTCCTCAAATATAATAGCAAGGAAAGGTCAGCTATGTAAAGCTGCAATATCAGAATTAACCTTGTTAAATAGCAGCCACTCAGGCTCATAATATCCCCTTATTCATTCTTCAGACATCACTACCTGTGATTTGGTCAACTTCTAAATCAGAGCTAGTCAATAGGCAGACCAAATCCAGATGCTTTTTAATGGACCCCAAAATATTTTTATTTACTTACTAGGGTTGTCTATTTTAATCGCAGTTAACTCGTGCGATTAACTCAAATTAATAGTGATTAATCAGTTTGAAATTTATTAACTGCAATTAAATTAGTATTCTATTTAAATATTTTGGATGTTTTTCTACATTTTCAAATATATTGTATTTTGTGTTATAATTGAAATCAGTGTCACCAGAAAGAGAGAACAGGCATTTTCATGGCATTTTTGCAGCTGGCATTGCAAGGTATTTACATGCCAGATATGCTAAACATTCGTATGCCCCTTTGGCCACCATTCCAGAGGACATGCTTCCAGGCCGATGACACTCATTTAAAAAAAAAAATGCATTAATTAAATTTGACTGAATTCCTTTGGAGAATGTTATGTCCCCTGTTCTATTTTACCCACATTCTGTCATATATTTCATGTTATAGCAGTCTCGGATGATGACCCAGCACATGTTGCTCATTTTAAGAACCCTTTCACTGCAGATTTGACAACGCAAAGAAGGTACCAATGTGAGATTTCTAAAGATACAGCACTGGACCCAAGATTTAAAAATCTGAAGTGCCTTCCAAAATCGGAGAGGGACAAGGTGTGGAGCGTGCTTGCAAAAGTCTTAAAAGAGCAACACTCCAATGCAGAAACTACAGAACCCAAATCATCAAAAAAGAACCTTCTGCTGGTGGCATCTGACTCAGATAATGAAAATGAACGTGCGTCAGTCTGCACTGCTTTGGACTGTTATTGAGCAGAACCCATCAACATGGATACATGTCCCTTGGAATGGTGGCTGAAACATGAAGGGATATAGGAATCTTTAGCGCATCTAGTACGTAAATATCTTGCGATGCCAGCTACAACCGTGCCATGCAAATGCCTGTTCTTGCTTTCAGGTGACATTGTAAACAAGAAGCAGGCAGCATTATCTCCAGCAGATGTAAACAAACTTGTTTCTCTGAGCGATTGGCTGAACAAGAAGTAGGACTGAGTGGACTTGTAGGCTTAAATTCTACATTGTTTTGTTTTTGAATGCAGTTATTTTTGTACATCATTCTACATTTAAGTTTCTTTCATGATAGAGATTGCACTACAGTACTTGTATGAGATGAATTGAAAAATACTTTGTTTTTTACAGTACAAATACTTGTAATCAAAAATAGTGAGCACTGTACACTTTGCATTCTGTAATTGTAATTGAAATCAATATATTTGAAAATGTAGAAAAGATCCAAAAATATTTAAATAAATGGTATTCTATTTTTTAACAGTGCAGTTAATTTTTTTAGTTGCTTGACAGCCCTATTACTTATTATCCCTATAGGTTTTTATTTTCTCTGGAGTGTGGGCCTTGACTATTCCTTGACCAACAAATTTGGACCTTGACAAAATACTGCCCTTGTTTTAACGCACATGCACTGTGCTGTAAACATGTTGGAAAGAATTGTTACACCAACACCCACTTGTACTGGTAGATTATGCATACGCTGCACAATTGTATGTTGAAAACCTGCATTTCATTCAGGCACTCATACATGAACCTTTGTGATAAAATGGCAGCCTGGTGCTTTACTTGCTTACTGTCATATGTGCTGGTGCTGCTGTCACTGCAACCACCGATGCACCACTTAAAGTAGGGTCACAGGTTTTTTCCAGGTTTGGCATCAGTTGGGGATCTCAAATTCCCACCTATTGCAGGACAGAATGCTTTCTTTTTTGGGGCGGGTGGGGGGAGATTTAAAGGGGAAAAATTAGCAGCTGCAAACTGTCTTGATATTCCTGGTGCTAGCAGTGATTTCTTCCTTTTGAGAGCACTGTATCTTTTGTTTGCAGTAGTAAATTTGATACTTTGTTTTGTTTTTACCTTTTAACTCAACACATTACATGCTACATTAAGAGTGTACTTGATGTCATATGTGGGTGTCTTTTAGGGTCAATGCACCCACTTAAATTCCCATGCAATGTTCTTGCTAAGAGTATCAGGGGGTAGCTGTTAGTATGTATACACAAACTAATCCAGTTGCACCTTAAAGACTGACATTTGCTTGGGTATAAGCTTTCATGGGTAAAAACACTTCAGATGCATGGCGTGAAAGTTACAGATGCAGGCATTATGACACATGAAGAGAAGGGAGTTACCTCACAAGTGGAGAACCAGTGTTGACAGGGCCAATTCAATCAGTTAGTGCCTTATGAGCGTCTCACATGTTGAAACTGCTTAATAGATGCCTTCAGGGTTCTGGAGTGGTAGCTGTTAGTCTGCATCAGCAAAAACAATGAGGAGTCCTTGTGGCACCTTAGTTTTTAAGGTGCCACAAGGACTCCTCATATTTTTTTTTTTTAAATTCAGGTTCTGGTTTATAACAGAAGCAGCTGGTGTTCTTGACACACATGCCATGGGACCCAGTATACGGTGAGCCTTGGCCACACCTGGCACTTGACCCAGAATCTTCAACTTTTTCCTGATCAATTTCCTCTCCAACCTTAAATTCAGTTTATGGGTGCACTTCTTACATCAGTGAACTGCCACAAAGTATTGGTTTTTATTTCAGTTTTGATCATTTTTAGGTATCAGTGGGGTGACAGTATCAACTAGTAGCTGAATTTTTGAATACCACTAGGGAGGCCCTTGTTAAACACAAGGACTTCATAAAAATTACTTATGCAATGTACATAACAATGTATGTGTTATGCTTACCATTTGCTGATGTATTCCAGTAATTTCTGGTTGAAAGCTGATGTCTTAACCAGTGCCTCATTACAACACTGTTGGCATAAACAAAGCTGGTACTCAGTACCATTGGACTGTTTCTTTGCCAATGCAATACTTATACTATCTGTAACTTAAAAAACAATCTGAGCATTAACTGATAACACAGTACTGTCAGTCAGGGGCCACGATTTAACTTTGTAAGGGCTGCATGTTTCACATGCCTGTGAAACTATTTTTAAAAAATTGGATTTTATGTATTCAAGAAAATGTCTCTTCATTTTTCATGTTTGACACCATTGTTAGTGGGAGAAAGGGCTTTCAAATGATACCCAACTTGTCTGGTTTCTGATGACTTATAAATATTTCCACCAACCACTGGTGCTGGAAGGGCAGTGAGTCTCTGCTGCAACACTGCAGAGGGTGACAGCATTTAAATTATGATTCTGTAAGATGTGGGAATCAAATGCCTCCCTTATCTCTTTATCATTAACTAGCTCATGGAATTATGCATGCTCCCCAACTAATATAAACAGTATAATGCTTATTTTAGGAAGTGGTATGGCCATGTTACCATAATGTTTTCTCGCATGGTTAAATATCTATTAATAGTGGACATGACTAACTGTGTACACTGATTTTAATCACCAGAAGCTCAGCAACGTTACCTGAATATATGCTTAATTTTTTTAGGTCAGTGAGACACCTCCCTAAGCTGTGCACAATTTAAAGTGTGGAGTTTGCATTGCTTCACTGGATGCTTCTGTAGTAAACTTGATTATTGAATCCTTTAGCCTAAACTTGTCACATGTATTTTTAAAAATCTGTTGTGGAGGATTTACTGGAATGAGTCAACTTCAAATCAACAGGAAACTTCAGGGTGAACTGCTACATTGGCTTCATGATTGACTCAATTGTATACTAGAAGCCCTGGAAAATACCTTCTGAAGTTATTTGAGAACTTTGAGTCATTCAATAAATCCATACTATGTACAAAGTCTAGTTTTTTTATAATCTGCTATATGCACTGAAATGAGATCTCTAAAGTGATGAAGTACTTGGCTTACTTGCTACCTCCTTTTACTATTGGTCTAGTATTGAATTAAGGAACTAAAGTTGATTTTTGAGTCTGTAGGTAGTAGTGGCTGGCAAGGGTGGAATTCTGTCAAGCATTAACTTGCTTAGCTGGGGGAAGAGTGGTGTGGATTATAGTTTGAACTAGACCAGCTACATTCTCCATAAAGTTTAGTTTTTTACTCTATACCTTGTTTTGAATCCCACATTGCAACTTGTCAAAGGGGATGTTTAGTAGCTTGAAAATGGAGGCTGCACGATCATGTTTCCCTTTTCCTCGCTGGTTTTCTCCAATCAAGATGTGTGTTCCAAGTCCAGGGGCAGCTCTAGGCACCAGCAAAGCAAGCAGCTGCTGGGGCAGCAGGGATCCAGCCTGGGAGCTGTAGTTCCTTAATTAGCTCCCTGCCTATAGAGCCAGCCCTGGAGCAGGGAAAGAACTAAATTTCCCAGCATTCCCTTGGCCACTATCAACAGGATAGGGAGGGAGTATGGTAGCTAAAACCTCATGCTGCAGCTTGCTGTGACTGGAGAGCTCACTGCTAGAACAGGGTGGCACTGTGATGGGGAACAAGTATGCCCAAGGAATAGGCAGCTTTGGCCCAGATAGCCCCTTCAAAAGACATCCCCAGACTGGATTAAGGATACTTATATGACCTCACCTTGAAGCCCCCAAAGAAAGAATTGGGTGGACTAAATGGACAGTCCCCCTCTCTATCTGAAGCCTAGCAAGGGAGGTAGGTGGCTCCCCCTAGAATTTAAAATGAAAAGTGAGTGAGGGAGGCTCTACTGGACCTGGGCAGCTTTAGATCCAGTACCAGGCATGTAGGAAGATTTCCACTTCTGAGCCATGGAAGCAGAAATTGACTTCCTTTCCAGATTTAGCAATATTCGGAAAGGGAATCTAGCATCTGCCTTCCAGATTTGAACATCTCAAAATTCAGGAGTGCTTAAGGTCAATTTGGGCAGCTGTTACTTCATTTCTCCAAAATCAAATATATGGATCCACTGCTATAGGAAAAAGTAGGATAAAATTGAGCAAGAAATGCTTCCCAGTGGTTTTTAGGACTGGAATTGCTATTTTCAACAGCCATTGCCTTATTTGTTTAAAAGGAAGACTGTGATATTGCATTGGCAAATTCCCCATAGAAAGAGAGTGGAACAAAAATAATAAAGGCACCTCAACTTTTCCTCATTTATGGAAGAGTCTTACATGCATCCAGCTATCCTCCAATCATACAAGCTGAAAATTGTTCCACTTTACTGCAGTTCTGTAACCATATGGGAACCAATCCTGTCTGTATTCTCTGCAAATCCAAAATTCCTGCTGAATGACCCACCCTAGGAGCAAGTTACCAGTGACCCAGGGCTGGGGCAGGAGGAGGGTGCAGCCAAAATTTTTTTTGCTTGTGGCAAAAAACCTAGAGATGGCCCTGTCCAAGTCACCCTTCTGGAACTATCATATAATCTTGGGGTTATTACATGAGGGGGTCATGAGCTGTTAGCCTCCACCCCAAACCCTGCTTTTCCTCCAGCATCTATAAGGGTGTTAAATATATATGTATGAAAATGTGGTTTTTATAAGGGGTCATACGCAGAGGCTTGCTATGGGAACAGGCACCACTACAAGTTTGAGAACCACTGATATAATCCAATATGAATATCTTTCTCCCCTGCTCAAAAACAATTTAAGTTTTCCATGTTGGTTCATAACTATTTGAAGTGGTGTCTAAATTCAGCTCTAATATACTTAAGCATAGTTGATATTCCCTTGCCCATAAACTTCACCTAATATCAAGTACTACTTACCTTTTCTTAAATGCATTAACATTTTGAAGGTATCTCTTTAAAACCAAGAACATCCACATGGGTCATCTACTCCAACCTGTCTAGTAGAAGATATTGGTTTTCACCCACTTATGCCTATACTGAGGCAATAGCTTGTTTGGCTGAAGCATATCTTCCTGAAAAGCACTGTCCTGACTTCAATAGCTCAAGATGATAGTTTGCTTGAGCATCTACAGCCAGGGTCTCAAACTCAAATCCTCCCAGCAGGCCACTAGTGTCACTGAAGATGTATTTTTTATTTCAAATTTCTTAATAAAATTGTCATACAACTTTTCACCTTCCAAAGTGTTTTTAGTGTTTGCCCAACACTTGGCAATGCTTCAGTTCTGTCAGTTTGTTGTTTGGCCTCAGTGATGGAGCAGTTGAAATCTTCAGGATTGCAGCAGTGTGTGCATCAGATAACCGTGTTCAGTATTTTGATTTGTTTATATTCATTGTGGGGGAAAAGACTCTGCCCAGCAACTAATAATGGTATCGCTATCCCTCTCCTCCAACCAATGGGAGTTGCAGGCATAGCACCTGCAGCAGACATTGGCAGCAGCATGTCTACATGTCTCTCCTCCATAGGCTGCAGTGGGGAGGTTCTATGGTCCCAGATGGCCCACAAGCCAGGACTTTGAGACCCCTGATCTACACATTTGTAACTCTAAGTTAAACCCAGCAGCTGCTAATTCAAGTTCTACTAATGCTACTTAGTGTAGCACAGAGACAGCCTGAGGCATGTTCTTCAGCTTCCCTATTTTTAACATTTGTAAATGTTGACACTAGAACTAGATACAGTACTCCAATATCCATCTCACCAATGTAGTATACAGAGGGTAAAATCACCTCACTACTTTTGTTTAATCATTCAAAGACCTCATGTTGTTAAGTACGACTCTCTAAAGCCTTTCCAGGGTAGTTTACCACCTGTATCTTAGAGGGACTCAAGAGTTTCAGTAAAATGCACTGGGTAAAATTTTCAAAAAAAATCAACAGGCACTACAGAGCCTAGGATGAAATTTTCAAAGATAAAAATGGCAGGGGTTTAATTCTCTTTGAAAGTAATAGTAATAGGCCTAACCACCATTTGCACCTTCAAAAAACAAAACAAACAAACAAGTATAATTGAAAGGATGTTTGCATCATTTTAAATCAATAGGAATTAGGCAAATTTGAATATTTTACCTCTTAACTTTTGATTTTCCAATACATTGACACTTGCACATAAAGCCCAGGTTTCATTACAAAACTTTATTAAAAAGATTCAGCTGACCCTTCACTTTTAAATGCAGACCATCCTCAATGTAAAAACGCCTTTGTACAATAATCTGAATCATAATACAAGCAGAAATGGAGTATAAACTGGCAGACCAAATCTGTAATTAGGCAAGTGTTGGTGGTGGTGATCATTCAAATCTTGGGAATAAATTAAGTTGCTACATTATTTAAATTATGATTTTTTGACCTAGATCAAAGCTCAGTACTTCAAAGTTACATAATGATATTGCTTAATGTGACTTTGGCCTTCTCATACATTCCTTGGATTGAACTGAGAAAGGAGTCAAGCACTTCTTATTGGCAGAAGTCTCTTAAAGGATGTAGTGTTCAATGTGTCTTTTTGGCTCGTAGTTTTTCCAATGTTTTCTGTAAGTAAAAATAGATGTTTGAATATCCAGCAGATTGATTTAGATTTGAAGTTCCTAAATAACAGGCTGGCAGTGTTATGAATAGCTAAATGCTCTATAGGAAGGGCATTAGCTAAGCTTCAATGTACTATTTGAATACTTGCCACAACAGCAGCTTGGATTATGCAGACAATGATATATTCCAAAAAAATGGTATTCAGTGTGTTCAAATACATCAGTGTATTTGGCACAAGGCAACCCTATGTAAATAACAGAACAAGCACAGTAACTATTACATTTCTTCCTATTCCAGAAAGTCATGCAGTGGATGTTCTAACTACATCCCTCTGAAGGGATTTTCTCAGGCTAACCCTAAATTTGTTGCAATGAACGGAATAGTGTGCAAACAGCAGCCAGAAGTTTAAATCCTGATCTTAGGGTTTGGTTTAAATCAAGTGAGCAGTTCCATTTCAAAAACAACTAGTGTAACCTCTTAGTAACTAGAAGAGGAACACTTGGACTATAGAGGCATCAAGATTTCAAACACTGACTCCTAATTTTGGATGTTTTTATCTATGCACTCTTTCCAACAGTTATTTGAGGGAAAAATCAGGATCAGATAATGATGCTAAATCAGATTTAAATTGTAGGGAAAAGTTTAGATAGTTTTGTTTCTGATGAGACATGGGAGGGACCCCGAGAGGTCATCAAGTCCAGCCCCCTGCCTTCACTAGCAGGACCAAGTACTGATTTTGCCCCAGGCCAGTGTTCATAATTTATTGATACACCTTAGAGACCATAGCTCTCTATTGCTATTTTTCAACCTGGTCTTCACTGAAAAATGCAAAATTTTAGTATGTTAAATAATTTACAAGTTAGCAGCTGAAAGCCCATAAACACATCACGTAGCTGTAATTTGTCACCATGAGATAGGGTGGTAGAATTTCATCATTACTGCAAGAGTGGCTCACCCCCATTTGCTTCAGATGAGTTCCAGTTTTTAATAAGTAGGTAGCAGTCTCATTAAAAAGGGACTGCACCTACAGGTAAGTGGAAATAGAACTGCGCAGAACAACAGGCATTAAAATAGAGAAATGCTGGGCCAAGGGGTTTAAGATACTGTACCACATGCAGTTACCTTTTGAAACTCTTTAGCCTTTTCTCTGTTTTTAGCATAGGTTTCTTGTCTTGATTTCTCTTCCTTTCTGATTTTCACTTCGGCTAGTTGATTATAAAGTCTGCCAAACAGTAAAAATGTGTATACTTATTAATGGGGGCTCAACTTAAAATTAAAGTGTTTGTATTACGTATATAGGGTTAATAAACTGGAAACTATTAAAAATGCCACTTTGGTTTATTTCTCTAGTATGCCAAAAATCCTTATTAGTATTTATATCCAGTAAGTTTATTACCCAGAGTTTTGAGGTTTATATTTGTTTTACTATATATTATCACCTTGACATTTGACAGAATGTGATTGGCAATTTCCCCAATGTTTTACTGATCTAAAATCGTGACGTTCGATTTAAATAGTAAACACACTGGCATGAGTATTTCAGCTATAACAACTCAAACTGAGGTCACCGAAAGGGAAAAAACTGTTTGCTTGGAACTCTGTATGTCAAAAGTCTTTTCACTAAAGAGTGAAAAAACTCTTTATATAGCATAATTTATAATTATGGATAGCAAATGAGTTTAGATGCAGCAAGACTTAGGCCAAGGTCTCAGCCTAGCTTTGCCTGGCATGAGTATTGTTTTGCCAATTCCCCCCTTACATAGATCTGCTTAAATAATGCTACTGCTGGCTGGACAAAGGTGATGTTTTGTTCACAGAATGTGTTCCATTAGATTTTTGATAAAAGGAAAAGTTAATCCGTGTAATAAATATACAACCCTGTACAAGTGCCTTTTAGTGGGGAAAAATAAGGACAAGATGACATGAAAACTGTATAAGCAGCAAAAGTTGTGTAAATTGAAGCTTGCACATGTGTATTGTAGGGGTTACATAAGACAATGCTTAATGCTGACTGGATAAAAATTAAATTAATGGAGTCTTATACTTGTCCACATTACATATGCAAGTGAAGCTTAGTAAAACCAAACTGGAGAAATAAGTCTGATGGACCAGACCAGGGATCAGAGGTGGCGATGATCACCACAAAATACAGGAGAACTTCCTGATAGGCCAGAATTCAATAACTTAGATAAGATGAAATAGAGGCCCATCATCTATGTCTGAAGTTTTATAAATAAAGGTGAAAATGATTAAGCCTGATTGGGTGGATTCAGACTCAGATTTTAAGGCCAGAAGAGACCAGCACGATCATCTAGTCAGACCTACTGCACCATCGCAGGCCACAGAACCTCACCCACCCACTCCTGTAATAGGCCCATATCCCCTGGCTGAGTTACTGAAGTCCTCAAATCTTGATGTTACAGAGAAGCCACCATTTACTCTAGTTCAAACCAGCAGGTGACCCATGCCCCACACTGCAGAGTAAGGCAAACCCCGCTCCCACCCCAAAAACAAAACAAAACAAAACAAGGTCTCTGCCAATCTGACCTGGAGAAAAATTGCTTCCCTACCCCAGTTTCCTACCTTGCACTTCCAACAAAAAGCACAAAATATTAGTCTCCACAAGTACTCATCTAATTTAAGTCTAAGGGGCTGAAATAAATGGGAGATCAGAAACCATTGCTAAAATTAAGGCTCTATATTACTGCAACAGGTATTATTTCAGAAACAAAAGTAGTTTAATTAGTCTAATTTCTCCCAACTATATTCACACAATACCTTAAAGTGCGCTGCTGCATTTGAACATCTGCAGACCTTTTGTCCTCTGGAGAGCACACTTTCACTTCCCCCACTTTCTTCAATTGACTGACAACTGCACCTTTGTTTTAAACAAAATATTTTTTAAAAAAGAAATGCAACTGAGGCCAATCCAAAAGTGGGCTCATACAGATCAGTGACAACAAAGTGAACTGGAGAAGTATCCACTATATAATCTTTACCAGGACAAGTTTACACCTTTTACAGACCGCAGCTGAACACTGGCCTCAAAAGGCAGTAAGGTCTGAAACAAAAAACAATCAGGTTTCCTATTTTGGAGAAAACACATCTGAAAAGGAACAGGCTGGTAGAATGGACTCCATGGGGCAGAATTTTTTCTTTTGAGAGTAAATCTCCAAATCTCAGCCAAGGACAATAGTAACGATCTTATCTCATATAGAGAAACACCAGCAAGTTGTAAGGCGATCTCAGTTTTTAGACTATTGTCTATAGTGGGCCTGAGAGCTAGCCCGTTATAATGGTGCTAGTTATGCTCTTTATTTCCAGCTTTTAATTCCCATTAAAAGAAGCTAAAAATATGTTACATTCTCAATACTGCTTTTTTATGTAAGCAATTACTGTTTTTCCAGGGATTTTATATAATTAAGCAGATGAAGAGGTGATCCTAGGATTATGAAAGAGGGTGAGGTATCTCTGAACCGCTCTTTCTTAAGATGCGATCCAGGCAGTGAGAGTTTGAGAACCCCCGTTACAGAATATTCTGATCTGCAAGAGCAAAGATCCAAAAGTAGCAGTATCTATCCTGCTTTATAGAATAATTACTAGAAGAATCCCATATGCCTAATGCCTATTTCCAAATGAAATTTACCAGAAGTAGGAGAATCCTCCTTTGGCATGTTAAATCTTTCAGTCTTGTCTCTTTGAAACAGCTTAGCTTGAGGCTTTTCAGAACATCTCTCTCTCTTTTTTATTTCCTCCACTCTTTTAGAGGACTTCTGAATAAAGTTTTTCTTTCTCCTTAAAAATGATTCTTGTAAACTACCTGGTGTGGAAGTGAACTCTAGCAACATGACTGTGAAGAAAGAAGGAAGGTCTCAGTACTTTTGATTTTATCACTGATTGGATAATCAGCTGTAGTAACCTATGAATTTAAATAATGGTCCTAAAACTGAGCTTTACTGTTTTCATGGATTGTACCGGGGTTTGATTTGAAGAGAATTAGGAAATTTACTAAACAGCTTCCTACAGTTATTTTAAAGCTAGAGTGCACGTATATAGCATTTTGTATTTGCTATACATGTTACTAAATCTTAATACCTTAAAGCATACTGTAAACAATAGGGTCCAAATTACAGACAGACATTCTCAAACCACCAAGCAGATCTAGCTTGTCAGAGGAGTACTTCTTATTTTAAGAATGCTCCAAAGTGTACTAGGCACCCCTCCATGCTGATCCTCAGAACTTTGGTCTGAGGATCTTACAAATTAATACACCTCTACCCCAATATAACGCGGTCCTCGGGAGCCAAAAAAATCTCACCGTGTTATAGGTGAGACCGCGTTACATCGGGGTAGGGAGAGGAACCGCTCCACGCCCCAGCTCACCTCCGCTCTGCCTCCGCCTCCCGAGTGCGCCGCCACTCCGCTTCTCCCCCCCACCCCTTCCAGGCTTGCTGCACCAGTCAGCTGTTGGCCCGGCGAAGACCGTGGAGGCGAGAGAAGGGGGGGGGAGGGGGAAGGAGGAGAAGAGAGAGAGAGAGAGAGAAGCGGAGCGGCGGCGCGTTCAGGGGAGGAGGTGAAGATGGGCTGGAGCAGTTCCTCTGCGCCACCCCCCCACCCCCTACTTGCTGCGGCCCTCCCCGGGGCCCCCCCTACCCCCAGCTCACCTCCACTCCGCCTCCTCCCATGAGTGCACCGCAGCTCCGCTTCTCCTCCCTCCCAGGCTTGCTGCGCCAAACAGCTGATTGGCGCAGCAAGCCTGGGAGGGAGGAGAAGCGGAGCTGCGGAGCGGAGGTGAGCTGGAGCGGGGCAGTCCTGGGGAGGGCCGCAGCAAGTAATGGGCAGGCGCAGAGGAACTGCTTGCAGTAACATGAATTTGGATATAACGAGGTAAAACAGCCCCGTCCCCCGGAGCGCTGCTTTACCGTGTTATATCTGAATTCGCGTTATATCGGACCGCATTATATTGGGGTAGAGGTGTACTAAGGGGCAGGAGACCAACAAGAAATTAGGAAAGATGGAAAACATTACATATTACGCAATGACTCAGCAAAGCTGGTGGTACATTATGATGGAGCCAAAGACTATTTTCTAATTAGTGAAAAGGATAGAAGTGTAATGAGAGGAGTTAATAAGCTTCTGGTTGAAGTAAGTCTTCAAGACAAGCAATGCTGACATAGACTTTTCAATAGGAACAGGCAAAAAAAAGCTGTTTCCATGGTACAATGGCATACATTGGACCTGGACCATATCTAGTATAATGCTGTAATAAATGGTGGCATATACTTGTATAATTACAAGTCTACCATAAGTGGAACTGTATTTTACCAGGTTTCAGAGTAACTGTATTTTACCAGTGTTTGAATATTTTGGAGATTCTCTGTTTCAGTTCTAATGAGTATACTGAAGTTACACACGAGTACCTGCAGATTGATGTAACGGAGACTGATCCTCATTAGGACTCTGAGCTATTGCAGAGTAGTCAGGAAGCGTGAAAACAGAGTAATCTGCTTCTGGGTCTAAAGGTAAAAAGTCTCTCCCCTGCTGCAAGACAGAAGAATCGATTGGTATAATGTACTTAGAACAGGCTACACATTTTAGTGAAGTAATATTAATCCATCTCCATTGTTGTCAAGGAACAAACAATTAAGAAGCCAACAGAATGAGATCTTTCTTCATTAGCACAGATGCAAGAAAAATGTAGTTAGCACATAGCAGCAAGAGCTGTTGGCACTAAAAGCCATTTTATAAAAATTTCTCTTAAAACAAAAAAAATCAGATCCTTACCCATAAAGCCCCTTTTCCCCCATCAAGTTCAAACTTCTCATTTTTGCTTCAGGACCCAGTTTTGCCCCCACTTGCATCTGATTGCTTTTCTTCCTGTTCCATCTCTAGCTCCCACATCCACTCTCACACAGTTCTGTCTCCTTCTCCTATTCTCAGATAAATGTTATTCCCCAATGCTGCCCCAATGTTTACAACAGCCTCCAACTGTCTAGTCTCAATTTCCTCCACGGTCTAATTGCTTCTTAAAAGCCACCTTCATGCCCTTGGAGCTCTTCACTGTCTATGCCCTCTTGCAATTGAATTATTATTCATTTGAATGTATGTGATCATCTTCCCAAGATAACAGCTATGTTAGCATGTTCCTTCATAACACTGTCTGGCATCAACTATATTACAGTCATCCACATAGTCTTGAGAAAATGTATCTTCTTTGAATAAATTACCCTGTGATCATCCACTGTCAGAATGGTTTAATCCTAACTGGCATTATCTGTAGCGTTTGGAACTGGTCAGGGACCGTTTGTGGACAACATATGAGCATCTGAATAGGGACAGAATGATCTAGGTCAAAGAGAATCCAACCAAGGAAATACCTGGAAAACTGGCAGTCCTCAGATGAGGAAATAATGATTCACAACCTGATTTTAAAGTTTTATCATTAGCATCCTCATGGACCTTTCCAGAGCTGTTGAAATACCCTGAGGATGGAACAGTTGCTACTCTAGCTTGAGTCATGCAACGCTGAGGAAAAGCTACAGTTTATCAACTGAGCAGGAAAAGGGAGGATTGGACAGAGAGAGACCCCTAAACACTGTCTGAATTTCAGTTCCAGAAATCTCATTAAAAGTCTACTACAAAATACCCTGGGGCAAGTTTCCTACATTAGGATAAGAAAGCCTGCAGTCAGAACTTAAATAGCATACTCACACCCACTGACTTAGTCATTCAGTACCCTAGGGGGTTGGGGACCTCATTAGTTTAATTTGAGCAAAAAAGACACAAAAGGATACTATAATAAAAGACTAGTGCAGTAATGCAATGAGCCCACCCTCTTCTGTCTATTCTGAGAACTGCAGATGGCTCTGAAGTGTGCCTCTATCCAATACCTAGATGCCCTTTCTCTAGTAAGGTAATAGGATTTTTGCCTTTCCCATTGAGTCTTCCAGGAATGAGTTATTCCTTGTAACAAACCCCGATGTCAACTCTGCATTTATATCAATTCCCCTTTTTCTCTGTTACCTCCTTGGCCATCCAGTCTTTACAAAAGACATT